ATTTTTGGCCTATGCTTTGGTTAGCTATTTATTACACTTGTACTTAGTCTATTTGGAAGTCAATTCTACGTCATTCTATGATTACCACACATGTGCCTTTGGTTGCCATTTTCTCTTCATCTTAGTTATTACTGTTAGAATCCTTAATTTTGAACAGGACCAATTTTGTCAGTCCCACGGTGGATTTTGTTTGTTTGATTTTGATTTTGATTTTAGCTCCCTGGAAACTTAGAGACAGAAGAAGGTCTCAACCCCTACATTCTGAAATCTCTTTTTGTGCTTCTGTCGTTTAAGGTATAGTTGGCCTTTGACCCATCTCTGGATGATAACACGTCTTTTCTTCCTTCTCTTCGGTTTCCAGCTATGCGGGTCCCACCTTCAGATTCATCACAGCTCAAGACCCTGAGGTTCACCTGACCACAGCCTTCTGCTGCTGCCACACATCCAGGTGGCTTCTTTAACCACAAGGAGCTTCCGAGAGATCTTGAATTTTATTAAGTTCTTGTGTATATTCACTCCCCTGGCCCTCACATAGCCTAGGAGGGCTTCCTGGACCCTCAACTCCCACCAAACTTTCAGTGATCCATGGGGTCCTTTTCCAGGAGAAGGAAAGGGAGGCCTGGAGAAACTGCAACAAACCATAGGTAGATCTGAAATCAAGCCAAAATGAAGTTCAGTCCAGAGACCCTCAGATTCCCGGAGCCATCCACCTCTCATGACACAGAACTTGTGGAACCCTGCACATTTCTCTGTTGCAAGCCTCCTGCCGTGTACCCTCTTCTACAGACCAATGTGGCCTTTCTCATCATTCGTCTGCATTTTGCAGGTGTCTCCTCCCCCTCTACTTAGAGTACTGATCCCAGATTAATCTTCCTAAATGAAGGTTGTGTGCAGACTCAGAATCCTCTGGTCAATAGAAGTCTTTATCTTCTGTGATAATTCTCCAGGGACTTCAGGGACACCAATGATCTGCCAAACACTCAGCCCCACCTCATGCTGTCCTAAAGGGATGGCTTGTTTCCAGTTACCACTTCCCACTACAATCAGCCCTGCATTTCTCTTCTTCCAACACCCTGTCCTTCCTGAGGCCCAGCGCGAATCTCATGTCCTTCATTAATCTCTTTCTGGAAACTTCCAGTAGACGTTTCATGTCTTTCCCCCTTTACGTTCCACCGAGCACTATCTGTAACTCCCAGAACTGACAAAGCTGTGCTTTGTAGCTCACGCCAGGGCCTTACTTTCCTTATCAGACTGTCAACTTCTGGGGCTGATGGATAGTCTCCTCTTTATGTTTTTATTACCCATCTCCCAATGTGTGGAACGAGCATAGGTAATCTCTGAAAAATAAAGTAACTAGTGAATAAGTGAGTAGTGAAGGAAAGGCCTATTGAGGAATAAAATATGGGATGGCTTACTTCTTTGAGAGCCTCCATTTTCCAAAAGGTTTTGTCCTTTCATGCTTTCTGCTTGCTCAGCTGTCAATCAACAACCCCCGCTCCCAAGAAGGCTGAGTCCTGACATCCCACTAGCACAAATCTATGGTTTAAGTTATCACTTTGATTCCTGCAAATAAATGTGGAGGCTCTTAGGAACATTGGTCTATCTGTCTCAAAGAAATGTCCTCTTGCCTGCAGTGAATGAAGGACTTTGAGAATTTCCCACCACCACCACCACATTACGCAATGATTAGAATAGTATATGACATGGGAGGTTGTAGAAGTGTCAGCTGGAGGTACTGTCCTAAACATTTGGATACAGCTGATCTGTAGTCCTTGGAGATAAAACTTGAATTCTGTATGTCTTGCTCCCTACCCATTACAGACAGACTGCCTTTCTATGTGGCCCTGGGGCTTCTGAACTACTCCTAGGAACAGACACATACAGGGTATGCCATCCCTGTGTCCAGGGAAGTCCTTGTCCTTGATGGAAATCATCATAGAGAAGAGGAGCAGCCATGTGACATGTGGGAAGAATGGAATGCTCCAGAAGAACTCCTTGCCCCAACAATGAAATGTTATTTTAGAGAGGGCTGAGGGCCAGTTTGCTAGAATTGAATACATCAGATTTCCAACATCTAATAACAGATGTTCTGGCTACAATTCATGAAATCATTTAATATTGCTTTATGCTGTGGTAATAAAAATGTCATCTGGCTCTAGTCGGCTCAGGTTGCATATCTTCCTCAAAGGGTCAAAATGACTTGATGCAGTTCCTGGATCAAAGGGGCTGATGGTGCCTGAATCTTAGAGGCTAGTGGACAGGATTTGATCTAAGAAGGGACATGTGCTGCTGCCCTAATATGTGCTTTCGATCCAACAGCCTGAGGGACGCCTCTGACGCCTAAACTTGCCCAGACTCTAATCCTAAGAGAGAAAGAACAGTTTAGGGGAGGCTCACACTTCCCATCCATCTCACATCTCACATCTGGCAGCATGAACATCTGGGGGATGCTAAAATAGGTGGACCAAACATTCAGAATGTGACTGGCATGGTACCAGACTTTATCACCAAGGTCTTGGAGCAGCCTAAGTAAGTAGAGATGATTTGGTCTCTCAGAACAAGTATTGCAGGAGGGTTGGAATTAGCCACTGAGGCAGGGGATGAGAAAAGGCATCTCGTGGAGTGTGACTGTAAATCAGGAGACTCAGCAACATGAAGAGATAATAAAGTTGCCAAGATGACTTGAAGATTGAAATAACAGTCTAAAGGAGATAACAGTAAAGCAAGGGGATTTCTTATGCTCAGAAAATATCTCAGGTAAAAACCAAACAAAGGACACAGTAGAAGTGCAAGACAGCAATGCTTGGGGTCTGTTCCAGAAACAAATTAAAGGGAAATAAAGGGTAATCCAGGGCCTATAAAAAATGAATACGTTTCACAAGTTTTTAAAGAGTGAAAATTCCTCCTCAGAAACCATGATACCAATGATTCATAAAATGGAAAACCAATACTGAATGTCAGCAATGGCATCACATAGGCTGTTTAATCCTACAGCAATCTACTATATGGGCTCAGACTCCTAGACGCAATGAATGATGGCTTTTCATTGTCAACTTGACTGGGTCTAGAATCAGCTGTAGTTGTACATCTGGATGCATCTTCAAGGGTGTTCCTAGAGACATTTATGAATATGATGAATATGATGGCATCATGCCATGGGCTGGGGCCCTGAACTGAATAAAAATGACTTAAAGGGAGAAATTTACCCAGTGCCATCTGTCACTTCATGCACCTACCAACTGATCCAGAATTGTAAGTCAAAATAGGTCCTCCTTCTTTAAGTTCTTTTCCCCGTGTTTTATCACAAAGTTCAATTTAAATGATATATAAGCAAAGCAGATAAACACCGGAGTCGAATTAACAGCTGCAGTAATAACTGTAGAGAACGCTAGTGTCTCCAAAAATGTTAGCAAAAAATTGATTATGAGGATGGCGTGACATTATAAACCTGCTGCACAATTGGAAAAAATTACCAGAGTAAACAGATAATCTACAGAATATGATAAAATCTTTGCAGGCTGTTGACTTGCAAGGAATTGATATTCAGAATAGAAAAATGAATGCAAATACCCAAAGAACAAATAATCTAACTTACAAATGGGCAAATGAGTTAACCACTTTAACACACACACAACAGCAACAACAACTATAAGTCGCTGCTAAATGTGTAGAAAAAAATGTTCAACATCCTTAGCTGTCAGGAAGATGCAAATTATTTATTCTTTTTGTTTTTGAAAACTCTATACATGTGTACAATAAAATTTCATCACGTTTACCTCATTTCACTGCTTCAAATTCTTCCATTATTTTCATGTCTCTGTGTGTGTGTGTGTGTGTGTGAGCACATGTGTGTGTGCATGTGTGTGTGTGTTCGTGTGTGTGTATGTGTGTGTGTGCATGTGTATGTGTGCAACAAGTTAGTGCTTCCCTTGTGTGTATGGCTGAGGCCATTGAGTAGAGCATGGGAAACCCATTAGAGCTATAACATCAATAAAGAATGATTCTCTTTTTCCCAGCAACTACCAACTGCCAATAGTTCCTCATAGGAAGTGGGACCTTAAGATCAAGATGTTGACTGCTGGGAGTTAATAAGTGCAACAGCCGTGTTCCATCTAGAAAGCAGCATCTCACAGCATTTCTCCCTGCCTTTTGGCTAGGATACACTTTCGTCCCCCTCTCCCACCCCTGAGCCTTCTAGGGATGGGGTTTTGTTTAGGGCTCAGCACTCAGTCTCTGATTCTCAGCACAGTGACCAGTCCCGCATCTCTCCTCCATTGACCGCTGGCACTGCAGGAGGAAGAAGCATCTCTGACCAAGGCTGAGAGCAGCCCAGGTCTGTCAGAGCCAGGAGCTGGGCAGACTCAAGAAGTCTGAAGTGCTACTGTGAGGCTCTATTCCACCCCTGTCAGATATCTATCATCAGGGAAACAGAGCCATAGAAGCTGGTAAGGATGTCTGTGTGGCAAAGTACTTGAGCTTTCTTGACTAAAACATAAATGAGTTCGCTATGGAAATCAGTCTGGCAAAGCCTCAAGAAAGCCAAAAAGAGAACCAGAATGTGAACTTGTCGGGGAACTCCTGACTGTATATGCAAAGAAACAAAATCAGCATGCATGCCCAAACATACATGCTTATTGTAGCACTCGTCACCACGGCCAAGTTATTCAACAGCCTTGGTGCCTGCTGATAGGTGAATGCCCAAAGTGTGGCTTATTATACACAATGGGTATTATTAATCCGTCATAAAAAAGAATGAAACTATCTAATTTGCAGAAGAACTATTGATCACATTAGAGATCTTATTACACAAGATAGTTAAATTCATAACGACAAATCTTGTTTTCTCTCATATGTAGAATTTAGATATTTTAAAAATCTTACAAGAAAGTAAAGGGAAATAATTGGGAAGAGGAAAGGGGCCAATGGGAGGGGGCAAAGAAGACAAGGGATGGGGAGGTGGTGAAAGTACACTGTATACACATGGAAATATCAAGACGGAATGCACTATTGTATATAATCAATGTATGTTAATATTGTAAACATTGTAATATTAAAGTAATAATACACACGTAACTAGAAAACATTTTTCAAGCTGAGGGTCTGACTAGAAAAGGTACTTGCTGCCAATCCTGAAGACCTGAGTTCAATCCCCGGGGTCCCCTGACCTCCTCACATGTGTAGATGCACTCATGCACAATATATAAATAAATAAAATGTAGGAGAGTAACTAATGTCTAATACTAAATGTATATATTGAATGCTAACTGTCCTTTCCTTAGTCCTCCAACCAAGCAGTTTCTGCCCCCAATGAACTCATCAAGATTGCCTGGGAAAGTACAATAATAGAAATAGTTTTCTATGGTTTGTGTTTTAAGTGTTTTGATGTAGTAGTGTCTTAAGGGGTGGAGTCAAATGGAAAGTGAAGGCTAGTGGGAGGTTTCTGTCAAGTGGGGATGCACCCTTGAAGGGCATTATAGGATTTTTGTCCCTTGTTTCTCTCTGTCTCTGGCTTTCCAGGTACGAGGTGAGTAGTTTGTCTTGGCCACTATCGTGATACACTGCCTTTTCCAAAATAAGAGGCAAACTGATCATAAACTGAATCCTCTAAAACCATGAACCAAAATAGTCATTTTCTTTTTGTAAGTTGATTATCTTAGGTGTTGACTCGAGAGTGAGAAGAAGCTAATAATAATTAATGTGGGTTAGCTTCGTTGGTTCCAAGCTCCAAGTCAGTTAAGTTTTTTAGTTCCTATTTTGCTTTCTCTTACAACTCACTTAGAATATACTTACTTCCTTACCTGTCTAAGATCACTGTTTATGAGACCAGTAGGACCTAAATCGTTGCCCCATGACACTGAATCCCTGCTTCCCACCACTGACCAGGGGAGCAGAGTTGAATTCTGTGAGCCTGGGAAAACTTCTGGAAACACCAGACCTTTTCCTCTGGGCTCCAACACAGGAGGCTAATGGCTTTTTGAAACTCTTCCTCTTAGGAAGCTGAATTGATATATTGGAGCACAGTCACAGGAGCTGAATGTGAACTGCCCAGCTATGAGAGCAAAGAAGCCCACAGAGGTGCCCAATCCTGACAACACCTGAGACCCTTTCTGCCTGGTGCAAAAATGCACACAAGGACTTCAAGTGAAGAGCAGGGGTTGCAGATCTCCACGGGGTCCAGTTAAAGCACATGAAACTCCAGCTGTCCGGTGATGGGGTTTCTGGGCCAAGGCCAAGGCAATGGTATGCTCCTCACAGGTAGTCTTCCCATTGCTGAGGCTCCCCAAGGTGTATTCAATAATGCTCTCCTCATCCTGAAGCAGATGGGAAAGTGTTTTAAAAGGTGCCAGGTTTATTTATGGAAGCATGAGACTGCATTTAAGAGATGCGCTTTGCCAATGTGAAATGTGAACTCTCAAAACAGGAAGTGTGCTTTACTGCCTATTTATTTTATTGCCGTATCAGCTGCCCAGGGCCGAGGAATCCTTCCTCTCAGGAATTATTTATTTTCTAACTTCTGAACCAGAACATCTTGACCATCAGTGTGTCTGACTCCTTGCAGCCAGATTCCCAACTACAAACATGTGCCTTGTGCCTGACTGTTATCCCGAGTATGTGGCTGACAACACTGGAAATAGAGGAAAAACATTGCCCGGAGTCTTTATTTCCATGTCGATGAAGAAGCTGAAAAGAAAGGAATCAAATGATACTAGATGGTAGACACTGTCAATGCCTTTTAGAATAATGAAGAAATTACTGACTCTTCTCCTGTGTCTCAAGACACTTGGAGGTAACCACCCATCATCATTAACTCATAGGAAGTTCTTAGCGGAAGAAAATAGCTCATCAATTTGAACTTGTCGCTTTGCCCCTGGCAACAATAATGAAGAAACAAAACAGAATTTACTGTGTTCTTCAGTTTATGCTCTGATCCTTTGTGGTTCTTTTCAGTGGTGAAGACATGAAAGGTCCTAATCCAGGCTTTGTTAACTAAGCCAATAATAACTAGCTAGAAGCACTTTTTGGTATCAGCAGAATAGCCCTGTGTACAAAGGCACAAAAGCAGAGTAAAGACACCTCACGTCTTGTTACCGGGCACTATCAAATCAAGAACTGAGAAGGAATCCAGTGAGGGTAGGAATAAACTTGCCATCCAAATGCACTAGGGATAGCCACACATGATAAAACAGACTCTGGGTAAAAACAGATAATATATACAAAAACGCATATGTATGCAAACTTGTAACTGCATGGATGCTTTCATATTCTATCCTAGAAGAGAGCTAGCACTTCCTTCAGCTTTAAAGAAGACTCTCCCACCTAATCTGTGGGAATCCATTAGAATAGGTGTGCTTTCATACTCGGAGCTTATGGTACCTGTGGACTTCAATTCCTGGGAGGAGCTCTCAGGAACGTGTCACAATGGCGCCACCTTCTGGACACTTCCAAACATATCTTTTCTTCTTGTCCATATTGCACGCCTAGTCTCCCTTTTGCCTATGTATGGTCTAGCACAAATTCACACTGAGGTGCCATCTCCTCACACTCCATACATGGGTGATCAGTGCCTCCCTGGGTAAGTTCAACACCTTTCTGCATCCTCGTTCTCAAGTGTCTCAATGCAACGAGGCGGATCAAGACGGGAACTGCAAATTGTTTCCATGGCTCAGTCCCACCGACTGTGAGGATGACTAAGATTAGGAAGCCTCGATACCCACAAAATACAGGTCATAAGTGTTCATGACAACCTGAACTTGGCTCTCCTTGGTAGAATTTAGAAGTCTAATGGGGGGGGAGTAAATGGTGAAAAAAATAGATAACAGGGCATGGATATAAACTCAAAATGTACATAGTAAAAGTAGACATAGACAGGCTTAGGAGATGGCTCAGCGGGTCCAGCACTTGCCATACAAGGATGAGGACCTGTGTCTGAATCCCCATAGCCTAAGCAAAGCTGGGCACAGTTGTACACATCTGTAATTCCATTGCTCCTTAAGCAAAATGGGAGACAGAGACAGGAGAATCCCACTGTCCAGCTATTCTGGGGTTCACTGTAGCAAGCAACACAGAGACCCTGTCTCAAATGAGTCACGAGATGAAAACTAACTTCTAATGTTTCCCTCTGATTTCCACATATTTACAGAGGCATGTGTATGCCTTTGAAACACACACACACATACACACACACACACACACACACACACACACACACACACACACACACAAACACTATACACAAATATCATGTATACACACACAAAATAAAACATAAATATATGAAAGTGGATCAATAAATTCACAAATGACAGAAATGCAGTGTTATGATTGTCCATCCAACATCCAGAGATTATTATTGAAATGATGGTATGTCTTGTTGCCTAGGAAACAGGCAACTGTTATGCTTATACATGACATCATTTCTAGAGGGGAATCTGTGAGTTTTCACCAAGAATCCTAGAAATACAGTTAGAGTTTAATCTAGAAATTCTATTTACAAAATTATCTCCAGCATGTATCATCATTTTACAGTAATACCTGTGAAAATGATGATCATTTTACCATTAATTTTGGTTAAAAATAAAGTGAAATAACCTACATGAATAACCACAAGAGATTGTTAAATCTAAATAAACATTGAAGTTGATAATGTAGTAGATATGTCTCTTACATGTCTAGGGTTTATGTGATATCAGAGGCATGTTCTATTTGATTCTATTTGTTGCTATTAAAACAGGAACAGTGATCAATAGCTATCCCAAATATTAATGGTGCCTTCTGTAGGAACTATACATGTATCTGCATGTTTCAACCTGACAATCTTAATACAAGTTCCATCCAAGTGGCATGACCTCAAAAGAGTAGTATCATGTTCAAACATACTTATTGCTGAGTACCAATAGTGAAAATTGTGGGGACAATGGAAACATCCACGAAGAGGTAAACAGTTAAGTAGGCCTAGGATAGGCATTCCATGGAAACTGAAGTCATTAAAATAGCTTAGGAAAACTACAGAGCAAGGTGGTAAGTGCCTCTGGCATAATGCAGTGAAAGGAAATAAAACAAAACAGCTGGGTTTGTGTGATTAGGATTACATCAAAACGAGTTGTGACATACTGTGTGTACACAGAAGACAATAGTCTAAGCAGGCCTGAATGCCACTGCAGCTCTGTTCAGGTTAAAGTCACACGTACAGCTCTTGGGGACTCAGCCCCTGCCCTGAGTGTATGGATAGAGTGCACGGGTGTCAACTGTGATAGGAAACTGGGAAGGTGAAGGCCTGAGCAGAGGCAGAAAGTTCTCTTACCCTCAGGCTGCTTCCTAGGCGAGTTTCATCATAGGAAATGTGATGCTTTGCTGGATTTCTCAAAAGATGAGACATCTTTGCTGAAAAAAAGAAAGAAAGAAAGAAAATGAAGCGTTCGGTTCTGTTGTATCAAAAACCATGAATGCCTCCGACCCTCTTCCCACACATTTGACTCAGTGACTAAAGATTTTTATAGCAGGAACTGAGGTTGTCAGTTTATACATCTTAATCCATTTCCCCTACACATCCCATGCTTTAAAATGATAGTCTAACCCTCCTGAAGTGAGTACCCAGATCCAAAGAAGAAAGAGATTGAAAGAAAGAGACAAATTGGTCTATAAGGGAGAACCATGAGGCAGCCCAGCACTGCATTCCCTGGAAAGGCACACCCTCCAAGGACATGCCTCTGCTCTCAGAAAGGTTGGCCTGGCAACTGGCTTACACACTCCGCACACTTGGAGAAAATTCTTTTCAGCACTCGCCAAAATGCCGGTCCAGGCTCCTTTTGCCTAGCAGCCTTGAAAGCTTGCACACATTGAGAGAAAATACTTTCAAATGACTCTGGGGTTCTGCTTTATGTTTCATATTCCTTTGAACTTGTTACCTCTTTACAATGTCTTGGACTATTAGTTTGGGAACATTTAAACTTAATGACTATATGGAAAGTAAAACAACACTTTGAAGTTTCCCAAGTCATTCATTTTTCCCTTTCATACACAGGAGGTTACAGAAGGCTATATGATGCCAGACTGAGTCAGTTCAGGAATAAATAACTTATTTGGGGGTCTATGTAGCTTGTTGCTCTGGGGTGGGTCAGGGGGAGGATAGATTAGTTATGGAATGTCTAAGACAACCAAAGCCATGATTAATGAGGGTCAACTTGACAACAGAGGACACACAGATACTGTTACTTCATATGGAGAGCAGAGACTGTCTGACCTGGGGTACCCAGACGCAAACTCCGGAGGTATTTGTTTCACAAGTCTTGTTGGTTTCAGGATGCACTAACAATAAAAAGAGATATGCTGAGGACTTCCTCTGGCTATAACTAACAGAACCAGGACAGCCATAAATGCAAGGATGATGGCCATTAAAGAAAGTTGGCAAGTGTGTCCAGAAGGTCAAGGCTCAGGAGTTCCAACTAAGTGTCTTTGGGGGAATGTGTTCTTCCACATGATAGTCCCACATGCTGTAACATTTTAATCTTCGTTTGCTTCCTTTTCTTCTGTAGATAAGATCTTGGAAGCTATTGTGGGATAGAGTTCCCTGTAGTGTATAATGGGCTTAGAAGTGGATATGGAGCCAAGAAATCAGAGAGACATATTCATCCTGGGTTTCTTAGATGTTCCAATAGACGTTTAGGGGAAATGGAAGCCAACTACAAAACCTTCCTAATTCTCATCAAATAAACAGCATAGCAATGTGGACCAAGGATCAAATCTCTAAAACATAAGATAGTATTCAGCAGAGATCCAAGAACACTGCTCCTCAGTTTGATTTCCATTTCCAAGAAAAAGCTAAATATGTATTTATTGGGGGCAACTATATGCATTGAAAGGTATGCTGAATGTGGAGAGCAATAACATCATCTCTCAAAGGGCTTGTGACTTTAAGAGACATGATTAATGTGTTTAGATAGTAAAGAATGAGTGATGGCCCTGTTGCTATTCAAACTTGTCAAACATCTACTGTAGGCTTCATACTAATGTAGATATTGGTACAAAATGGTGAAAATACAAAGTTCCAGTTCTCATAAAATTTATACTCTGGAGTGAAGAGATAGACAATAAACAACAAATAGAGATGATATTATTTGTTAAAAAGCAGTAAAGAAAATTAAAGAGGATAGCATGACTGAGGGTAAGAGGGAATGGAATTGATCAACGGACCTCTCAGTCTAAAAACTCTTGGGCTCCAACTGAATGGGAACTGCTGGGTTTACCTGATGCTTTCTATGGGAGCATGACTGTAGAACTGTCTACTGGAGCAGAGTAGGCTTACCAGTGACTAACAACTAAAGATAATGGCACCTGGGTCAGGAAGGAGGTAAGAAAGGGTGAAAGTGGGTATAATCAGAATTCATTATTTACTTGTGTGAAATTGCCAAAGAATAAATTTACTAAACACAAAGGTAAATGAGGAGTATTTCCAGGTAGAGACATAAGACATGGGGCTAGAACACATTTATTCCTTCAGAAAGCAGAAAACAAGTTCCTATGGCTGAAGTTAACATCCTACAAAGATAGAGAAGAAAGGTGATTTTAGAAAAGAATGTAGGATAGGGATTGTGTGAACACTGTTAGGTAGGGGAAATGAGTTGGGGTTTTATTTCAGGTACAGTGACAATTATAAATTTTAAGCAAAGAAGTAACATAGTTGATGTTTTCAAAAAGTCTGTTTGTTGTTTAACAGTTCCCCTGCAGATAGAAACATTCCATTCTGCTGGGAAGAAGCTCTTTAAGCAAGAATGTAAAAGAGCTTCAAAAACAAAACAGTTTCAGGAAGTCCCTGAAGCTGAAAAGATTCACTAGGCCCCTCCCTGTCAGAGTAAGCAATGAAAGTTGAGAATCCATCTCAGCCAAGCCAAGCTACACAGAAGACTCTTGAGAACATACCAGCTGCTTGAAAGAAGCAGAAACTGTTGCAGCTGCTGGGAAGAGGTTTAGACCAACTGAGTCACTTAGAATACTCTTCAACCTGTTGAGCTGCCTACAGTGTGCTCCAGGTTCCTAGCTTTTGTGAGTTGTCACCTGTGCTAGGGTGCGCTTTGATGATGTAACTGTCTTTGAGTCACCTCTGCTCCTGTAAGTAGCCCTTCATCTATATTCCTGTAATTAAACCAATAAAACTCACTGGGCCACAAAGTTGGATTTTTGTGGTTTTCATACTTTGTGCTGTGGGCTCCTTATCTGGGGTGAATACATGTGTGCTGGGTCTCCCTAGGAAAAGTTTTGTCACAGAACACTGTTCTGTAGGGAACTGACAAAACTGAAAAACTGACGAAGTTCTCAAAATTCTTGAGAAGTGTATTACAACTGTTCAAACAAGAAACCCTGATGCACAGACCAGGTTAGAAGAGTAAGATAAAGACAATCTAGATATGATTGACAGTAGAGCCCATAGAACTTGCTGAAGAACTGAAAAGTGGTCCTTACACAAGGACCAGATATATTCCCAGGGATGAATGATAAATGCCTGTATGCTCTTTGGGTGGTTGCATGAATGGAGCATCCCTATAGGTTCAGGTGGTTTGTAAAAGCTTTCTAAGACATGAACCTGGCCATGCTCTTTTAAGAATGGGTAGAATTTGAACATGTGTCTAATGATGTACTGTTGAGGATGATTTCAGGGCACAGCTTGGAAATGTTTTATGAGTTATTTATCTCATCAGCTTCAGTCATTAGTGATTATTTTGCAACTTCAGACCTATTTTTATTTTATGCTAATGGTGATAAGAGCGGTTGTTTTTATTAAATCAATCTCTCTTCTTTTTCTGCAATTATAATGTTTTTTAGGAATAGTTTTTGGACCAAAGAATTGGTGGCCCAGTACCCTCTTTAGCACTGCACTGAGTTCCTTAAACTATACCTGGGTCACCTCACTCTTAAAATGAATGCTGCATGCCTAGTTAGTATTCACCACCCTGAAACAAAGATTCTGATTAATCACCATGTCTTTCTGTCTCAGTAGATTCCAAGAACCTTGGAGTGAGGCTGAAACAGCTTCTTTTGTTTGGTTTGCTAGGGTCTAAGTTGGAGTTTGAGATAAAGGATAGAGTGAGGACTGTGCAAGGATTTGTTCAATAAACAAGTCCACACTTCATCTTCCGGTTGAGATTGTTCTATTTCCATTCTCTGGTTATAAAACCATTATTCTGAGAGTCATCAAAATGACTCTCCAAACATATATCTACCTTAACTTGAAAAGGCAAAAAAGGACTTACTGAATAAGGACTTTGAGATGACATCACAGTGGGACTTTCGGGTATCCCCTGAATCCCATAAGAAAAAGACACAGACTGAGAAGTTCATGTGAAGACTGAGATGGGTATTGGACTTCACTTGTCATTAACTAAGGAACATCTAAGGTCACCAAATGCAGAAAGGAGTGAGGAAGTACTCCTCTTAAGGACTTTAGAAAAATCCTGATCCTGACAATGCATCATGATTTAGGGCTTTTAATCTACAGATACTAAGAAACAGTAAAGTTTTGTTTTTGAAATAAATGTGGGTACTTCATTATATCCACCCTTGAGAACTGGCAACCTTTAGACACAGCTCAATTAAGCTCAGCATAGAGCTTGCCCAAACTAGCAGGATCTGGACAGCGTAAGAGAAGCTAGACTCTGCTTGAAATAGTTAAAGGGGTCCTCAACGGAGCTCTTGAATGTTTCCAGCCCTGCTGTGCCTATGATTATCCACCCTAATTCCCAGATGGTGTAAGAGCACTGAGCAGTCTAGATGACAAAAATATACCAACCGAAGTAACTTCATCTTGAATTCTAAATCCAATGGACACCTACAGTCTGGTTGACTTAAAGCATTCTGATTGGTGTTAGAACAGCCCAGAATACCCCAGAAATATTTGTATGACCTCCTCAGAGATAAGAAGCCCCTGAGAGTCCATCCAAGCAGTTGACTAAGTTTTCCTAACATTTCAGGCACCTCATTTTGAAAGGGGAAAAAAGGAGAAATGTTCAGACTGTTGATAGTTGTGTTGATTTATTTTGGTTGTCCCTGGTGTGCCAAACATAGACAATAAGGAGAAGTGTGAGGTGGGGGTGAATAGGAACTTCTGAGTGTTAGCAGTAGAAGTCCAAGGAAAGAAGGACAAAGGAAAAAAAAATAAGTCAGAACTCGGTACATATGGGCATTCATCCTCAGCTGTATGAGTGTTAGAGTGGTGTTAACTCTGATTTGATCTGTGTGTGTGTGTGTGTGTGTGTGTGTGTGTGTGTGTGTGTGTGTGTGTCTGCTCTTGTTGTAACTGATTCTCATGCAAATAAGTGAGCCACACGAGTTTATTTCCAGATACAATGTTCTAGAAATGCCTCTCTTTAACTTGCAATGGGGCTAGAGTTTTCATTTAACCCAAATTTGTATTTTACTGGCATCATCTCTAAGAAAACAAAATTTAAAAAAAAAAATCAAACAAACATCAAAAACCCTTTTCCTGAAGATTCCAAGAAATTAGAAAGATAGTACCATATAAAATGATGCAGATGATCCAATCTCTGTGTATTTCACACAAAAATTTTAATACCTCATCTTTTCACATCCAACTTCTAAAATGTCTCCAACTGGCTGACAAAAGAGTAACAACTCCTTGCCCTTAAATCCATGATTAGGTGACAAGTTCTTCTTTTAAAGA